TGACGACTACCCTCTCCTCGAGCAGGCATTCGCGGAGTACGCTCGTCGACATCCTAAACAATGCAAAGTCGTGGCAATCGCTGAACCGAGGCCAGAAACCAGATCAGATTTTGCGACTAAACATGGAATAGCGGACAAACACGCCTTTCCGTCCCATACGGAGCTGCTCGTCCACTCCGACGTCCTGGTCAGGGACGGCAAGGAGAGATTAGCCCAAGCTGTGGTTATTTGTGTCCAAGACAGAATGCATGCCCAATTGACCATCGATTTCGCTCAAAGAGGTTATCATATTCTGTGCGAGAAACCTCTAGGAGTTACGGTAGAAGAGTGTTTACAAGTGACAGAGGAGGTGGAAAAGAGCGGTGTGGTCTACGCATTGGGACATAGTGAGTCAATGATTTTCTTGACAAAGAAGAGAGTCTTACACCTCCTGTCCCCTTAATAGACTTTCCTTATTCTCCTTATGCCGCCTCGTTGACAGAGCTCATCCATTCAAAGGCACTTGGGCGGCTGTTGCACATAGCTCATCTGGAACCCATCGGTTACTATCACTTTGCTCATTCGTACGTGCGTGGACACTGGCAATCCGAGCACACATCCGCCCCCATCATCCTCACCAAATCCTCGCATGATTTGGACATTTTCTGTCGGTGGTTGCATCCACTCGTCCCTCAACACGTCGCAAGTTTTGGAGGGCTCGGTCATTTCAGGAGGGAAAGAAAACCAGCAGAAGCTAGGGCTAGGGGTGTGATGCGGTGTCTCGACTGCCCTACCAGCGTAGAGCAGCGATGTGAATACAGTGCAAAGAGAAGTGGGTATATAATCCGACCTCTTGATAAACTGGGCCTAACAGCATCTTCATAGTCTACCTCTCCCCTGTGAAAGCGGGCATGTCTGCATGGCCAGGAAATCTCATTGTGGATGGCCGACCGACAGTGGAAAAGATGACCCGAGCACTTGAAGAAACACCTTTTGGACTATGCGTATATGAATCGGCCAACGATGTCCCAGATCATCAAACTATTTCTATCCAATTCACCGCGCCTCCGACCAACGATGCCCAATCGTTGCGTGCTGAATCGCCCGAGCGTAGCCTTTCACGTTCTCGAGAAAGGAACGTACCCGTAACAGGGCCAACTATATCGTTCACCATAGCGGCACATACAGAATCGATCTGTGTACGCAAAACGACAATGTATTTCGAACATGGAGAAGTGATTGGCGACATGTCTACCTACACCGTCTCTGACTTTAGGGATATCGGCAGAGGTCCGAAGCGTATTATTCCACCACATGGAATAGGAGGTGGACATGGTGGTGGTGATTGGGCTCTGACAGAGGCATGGCTCAAGGCGATCAAACAGAAGGAACGTGGAGAAACAGTCACAGCATTGGGAGTAGCTGCAGGCGTAAGGGACCAGCTCCGAGTATTCATGACGGGATTTGCGATTGAAGAGGCGAGGAAGGGACTAAAAGTGGTCGACTGTGAAGAGTTCACAAACCGGATGAAGCAAACCTATGCGTCTGAAAGACTATCTCACATAAATATCGAGTATGAGCCAGAGCTACCTTAATCTCGAGGTTAATTATCCATGGACAACGAGGTTAGAAACTGTACATTGTATACTGTCTAATACAGGATTTGCCAAAAAGGTAGATAATGAACATGACTAGATTATTGCACGAAAAATCAAACGGACAAACCAATACCTTTCCGCACTATGCGTTGCCTCGTAACTTCGCTGCTCCCTCTGGAGATGCCTCAAATAGCTGCACGGTTAAACTTCCCAAGAAACCAGGTACACACTTGAATCCAGCAACCCAGGTTCTATACAGTTCCTGTACTTCTGGAGGTGCTTCCTCGGCAATTAGCTGTACTTTGATGTCTTCTCCTTCGAGTGGGTTGGAGCTTGCACCTTTCCTTGACTTGCTGGGTGGTGAAAAGACGATGAGAGCCTTTGGATCATAGACAGACGTAAGCTGCACGGCCCCATTCTGCTGGAACCGGAACTTCCATCCCAGCAGCGATGTGACTGTCGTCTTAAATTCCTCAGCCTTAAGGGCAAAAATCTACGACCGAATTCATCAGTAAATATAACATGAAACCGTTGTATTCATACCTGTTGTAGCCGCAAAAGACGTTTTTCCTTCTCCTTGATAGTATGCTCGAGTTCCAACTTTTCTTGTGCCAAGGTATCTACGGTTTCTTTGGGAACAAGTCCAGCGCCTGAAGCTACTGAAGAAGCGGCAGATACACCGTCTCCTACTATCGCCCTCAGAGCCTCGTTCTCCTTCTTGAGCCTTTGCACGTCTTCCTCTCTTTTGCCAAACCATCTGGCAGCTGGGTTATCTGCCATTTCCAGCACACGGACACCAGGGGGTATATGTCGACCAGTACCAACATCACCACGTAAGCGAAAGAGGTCATCTTCTAGCTT